TCTTCTCCTATCACTTGTTAACTTGGGAAAAGAGACCCACACCCACCTCACTGCAGCCTCCTTCCAGGGAGTTGTAGAGGGTGATAAGGTCTCCCCTCAGCCTCCTCTTCTCCAGGCTAAAAAAAAACTTGGTTCCCTCAGCTGCTCCTCATAAGACTTGTGCTCCAGACCCTTCACCAGCTTCATTGCTCTTCTCTGGATACGCTCCAGTGCCTCAATGTCTTTCATATACTGTGGTGCCCAAAACTGAACACAGTATTCGAGGTGCGGCCTCACCAGTGCCGAGTACAATCACTTCCCTGGTCCTGCTGGCCACACTATTCCTTTTCTGAAGCAGGTTAGGATGCTGTTGGCCTTCTTGGCCACCTGGGCACACTGCTCAGTGCTGGCGGACTGTTGATCAACACCCCCAGGTCCTTTTGTGGGCAGTTTTGTAGCCACTATTCCCCAAGTCTGTAGTGCTGCATGTGGTTATTGACCCAAGTGCAGGACCCGGAACTTGGCCTTGTTGAAGCTCATCCAGTTGGCCTCAGCCCATTGATTCAGTCTATCCAGGTCCCTCTGCAGAGCCTTCCTACCTTCAGGCAGATCAACACTCCCACATATCTTGGTGTCATCTGCAAACTTACTGAAGGTGCACTCAGTCCCCCTGTCCATCTCATGTAAACATGACCCAGTTCACAGTTTGTCAGAGTAGCGGTTTGGCACCTGTGTGACTGGTTTTCGCAGTGACTGCATCTCACTGCACACACACATGGGGTACTGCACTCGTCAGAATTTGTCAGGCAAGGGCACAGCAATAAATCCCCGTGGGGGCTGAGAAGAGGACTGCAGCCCCCAGCAAACACTGAAATTCAAGCAGCACAGCAACCAGGTGCTCTATAAGGCAACTATACTCCTTCAGGTGGTCTTCTCCTTTGGTCCCCATTTGAGCAATTTAATCTGCCTTTGGATGCCCCCACGCTCTTGAACTTTTCAGTCAGGGAAAAGGAGGCTTTCCACAGATTGGCCCTTCTGATAGAGAGCCCCCACAGCGTTTTGAGCCATTGCTGTCCTGCTGAGCCCCAGGGTGCAGCCCGTGGGGCTGGTGTGATTCATCAGCACCTCGCTGTCTGTGGCTGCTTCCTTTCTTCCTTCCCTCAGATCCAACCAGCAACACCTGCATCTCCCAGGGAGCGAGAGAAGTGATGATTGCAGATGACAGCCTCACCTCTTCACTTGGATGAGATCTGATCAAGCAGCTGCTCATCAGCCCCAGGCACCAACTGCACATCACTTGGGAGACACAGGCTGCTCTGCCTCAGGAGTCCCCACAGGGCTCTTCCAGCAGAGCCTCCAAGGCAACTGGGGTGGGATTTTCAAACCAGCTGGTTTTGTCCAGCATGCAAATAAATTACATGGATATCGTACATACCTGCATGGCTGGTGGTAGTGGAACATATATTAGGAGCTTATATAGGGATTTCTAAGTTCCTAGGCTGGAACACCATAATCCTTTCACCTGCTCCTGATCTTGTGAAGAAAAGATGGGGCAGGGAGCCAGGACAAAGCCTGCAGCCTGTGCACAGAGGACATCGGGAGTGCCCGAGCTGTGTATTAGCATACCTCAGAGCACACAGCCACCACAGTGACTGTTCCTGCCATCCAAACAGCATCTATCCCCAAGGAATCCTTCTCCACAGTTTGCTTGGTATCTCCATGTTCTGATCAAGATCTGCAGGAGCACATGGCTGAAGCAGAGGTGAAGCATGCCAGTTTATTCTGTTGCCTTCACTACCCAGTTAACAGGAAGGACTTGGTGGTGGGAGCATGGGGGTTATGTGTCAAGATGTGCTGCGCTGCTTAAGCAACAAGTGCTTCTTGTGCAAGCCCTTCCCACACCTCCCCTGGCCCTGCTTAAAATCCTTGAGAAGACCTTATCCAAGAGTCCTGGCGGAAGAAGCAGCTTTGTTTCTGTTTTGCTTTCAAAGAGTAAGCACCTTTTTTCCTCCATGTCCTACTGCTACAGCACAGTTTGCACATCCCATCATTTAGATGTCTGAAATATTATTTCACGACGTGTTCTTTATCCATAGCTGTGACAAGCAAATTACACTGATTTAAGCTCATCTACCTTGGTCTCCAGGGACACTGGCTATTAAACTGTCTCAGAACTGGCATTCTGAAGCACTGTCACACTCAACCTGGAGGAAGATGCTGAGACATCTGCGCTACCCAGCAAAAAAGGGGCTGATCTATTCAGGACTGTAACTAAAATAGTGTGTAGGGAGCACCACATTACTCAGTCCTTTTGCAGAAAATAGGCTCAACTTAAAACAGTAACAATGTTCAGTCCAAATGGCAGGTCTGCAACTTCACCAGTGGCTCCAAGAATAATCGATGCCTTTCCTTTCTGATACACAATAATCAATACAAGATCCTGCAGGCTCCATCCCACTTGGTGGCAAACTGCCCAACCATGCCCATAAAATCATCAACAGCCACCATATGTGAAAGGCAGAGATCACAACTTGCTTTTTAGTGAAGCCAGAATAGGCTTGAACAAGATACAACAGGAGCTGCTTATTGTTCAAAGAGCAATTTTAGAAAGAAATTGATGGACACTGGGCAACAGCACAAGCCATTTGTCCACATAAAACCTTCACTTGCAACTGACTCCATCCCTTGTTCTCAACAGCAGACACCTCTGCTGGGGTCTGAACGAGAAAGAGACATACAAGAAAGTGAAAGTGATAGGAACAGCTTCCAAGGTCCTTTTTGACAAAGCTTAAAGCCATTTCACATGACATGGCCAACTCCTGCGTGCTTCACTCACACTCCACTCATGCTTTGCTGTCTTCTTGTTTCAGTTGGCAAAAAGAAAATGGACATCATTCCCTGTAAAATAACATCCTAACGATCAGTGTCACAGTGATGTGCTGTTCCATGCTGTGTAGAAAGCTTTGTGCAAAGCTACCATGGGCACGGTAGCTGATGAGACACTTTGAACTTGGACTGCTGATGGCCCTCAGCAAAGAAACCCAGAGGGACTTGCTCTGCTCTTTTGGAGGAGCCCATCTCGAACACATGAGACACCAAGGACTGCAATGCTGTTTGAACAGGCACTGGCACGTTCCTGCCACCTGCATTCAGTATCTCCCCTGAGAAAGCAAAGCATGGAAACAAAAATCCCATAACAATTAAGCATTGCACACAGCAAGTAGAAAGGAATTTGGAGAGGTGTGTTTGCTCACTCCTCTCCCACTCGAGCCTATCGCCCAGGCTACCTGAGGAGTTTGCCACCTACACATAAATCACCCCATACCCAGAAGATACTTTGCTTCAGCAATAGCTACAAAATGAAGGAAAAAGGAAGCTGAAAGCTTCTTGAAGGTATCAGAGATTATACCACGCACTGAAAAATCTTTTATTTCTGCAGTTCTAGAGAAAGAAACCTCAAATTCCTCCTCCCAAATGACCAGCTGACTCAGACACCAGAACAAGTCAAATACTAAGATTTTACTTCCCTGTAGGATCTCAGTTTGTTGAGGTAATCTGCAGTATCTACTAAAAATGGCATGGAATGAATGAAATTACTGCAAATGGAATAGCAGACTATTTAGGACTAAATGTAGAGTATAATTGAGTTTTATTATAATTAGTGGATAAGTTGCATCTTCATCTCAAATACCTTCTTAATAGGAAAATTAAATTCAAGAGCAAACTTAATGGCAAGAGTCCTTTTTTGTAAGCTGGATGCATTTTCCTTTGCAAAACTGAAATTAAAGCCAGCCTGCTACTTTTAAAGAAAGCATTTGAGACATCACAATATACTGGTATCATAGAATCATACAACATGTTGGGTTGGAAAGGACCTTTAAAGATCACCCAGTCCAACCCCCCTCCAGTGAGCAGGGACAATGTTACCAGATCAGGTTGCTCAGAGCCCCATCAAGCCTGACCTCAAATATCTCCAGGGATGGGGCCTCCACCACCTCTCTGGGCAACCTGTGTCAGTGATCTACCATGCTCATATTAAAGAACTTTTTCCTAATATCCAACCTAAATCTACCCTTTTCTGGTTTAAAACCATTACCCCTCATCCTATCACTACTGAATGGCCCTTCCCCAGATTTCTTATAGACACCTTTCAGGTATTGGAAGGTCACTATAAGGTCCCCCCAGAGCCTTCTCTTCTCCAGGCTGAACAACCCCAACTTTCTCAGTCTGTCTTCATAGGAGAGGTGCTCCAGCCCTTGGATAATTTTTGTGGCTCTCCTCTGCACACACTCCAGCACTTCTATGTCCTTTTAGTGTTGGGGACTCCAGAGCTGGATGCAGTACCCCAGGTGAGGTCTGACCAGAGCAGAGGGGCAGAATTATCAGCTGGTTGTCCTGTAAATGGTGTATAAATGAAAAAGGTATGACATAGTATTACTAAAGCAGCATAAACTGCACTCAGATTTTTTAATTTAGGTCTCCTGAGTATTTAAATCTCTACTCCACTCAGATAACTTCATCTTCACTTCAAACATAGTCTGCATTTTGGTCTGTCTACCAATTCAGTTTATCTTTTGCCCCCTACCAGCAACTCGGTGCATTTGGATGGATCATACAAGTTGATAGTTGCACTACATGAAGCACTTGCAGAAAAAAATCCTGCATATATTGCATACGTTTGTGTCATAAATCACGGTGTGCTACAAGATACCAAGATAAGAATGAGTTACAGAAACCTTGGAAGAATATTCAGGGAGGAACGTCTGTAGATTTTGCAGATGAAAGGGAGCTGTCTGACCTATGAAACAGAGCCAGTAGTAAACCCATGTTCAGTGTATCTCCAGCAGATCAGCTACATATACGTAATAGGGGTAACAACATTTTAGGAAGGCACTGTATTTTTTTTTTGCTATTTAAAAAAAAAAATCCTTCTCAGCAGTTAACAGAAGCCTGCCCACTGACAGTTTCTCAGGAGAGCAGGGTGGTGGTGTTGATATAAAGGAACACAGGCAAAGGTCATATGCAGATTTATGAAAAATAAATTTATTACATAACACCTTGTTTTAACAATGTTTGATTTTTTTTTTTATTCAGAATACTTGTGTCATTCATGTAAAATAGTTTGATACAGTACATTGTATGTAAGTTTTTCCTCATAAATTCTAAGGCTCTCCTAACACCTTGATCCTCTGCTGTAGGAATGGCACCCCTAAACAACGTGCGAACATTTAAAAAAAAAAATTAACTGAACCAAGTTTAAAATCCACTACACCAAGCTGGTTCTCTAAAATTATGACGAAATATCTGAACGGATGCCGCACCTTTTTAGGAAATATCATTCATGCTTTTTTAATCCCAAAGCATGCTCACAAATCATTAACACCAACAGGAAAAAATAAAACACTGTCTATGACAATCATTTTTGTTTGTTTGCTGAACCAAACATGTTTATATCAATGACATCATACTTATTTTACTATCAAATAGCAGCTTTAATACCAGTCAAGTCATAGATTTAAAAACAAAACCAAAAACTTATGTTGGAAATTAAATCTTTGGGACATTTGTAATTGCTGCAAAAAAATGCAAACATTTTCATGTTCTTAAAAAAAAAAAAATCTCATCATAGCAATCGTGTCGGTCATAAAAGACTGATCTAGGTGGAAAATGAACCAACCGACAAAAGTCACTAAAAATAAACGTCTATCAAAACTGTCTCAATCGAAGTCATGGTTAGTTTGCTTTTTTGCCATGGTAACATATACTGTATGCTTCAAGTACCAGTTCAAAGATGTTGTGTACTATTGGTCAGATAAAGTTGTTACATCAAGAGAATTCACCACATACGACACAAAATGCTTGCCCCTAGCACATTTCACAGCTTCAACTGCTACAGACTGTCACTGAAAAAAAAAAAAAAATAAAAAAAATGCATCGGTCAGTCTGAACCATGTCAAGTAAACTATGGAAGTAGCATATCCACAACACAAACTGTGCTAGCACTTTCTTTTCAAGTCTAACCCCAAAAACAGGTAAGATTTGGGAGCCACTACTCAGCGCTGTGGAAAGGGGTGGATCGTGGCGATCAAACAGGTTGGAGGTGTGGTTGTACAGTACATTCTCGTGGCCCAAGCCGGGTTCCAGGCAGGCAGCTGCGTGGCCGGTCCTGCAGCATTAGCAACAGTGCATTGACGTTATTGGGGTGCAGCTCAGTACCGATGTGTCTGATGCGAGTACTGTGGCGGCTGCTGGGAGGTAGTTGAATATCCCATGCTGCTCTGTGGCTGTGATGTGCTTGGTCCGGGGTTGGGGTAAGCAGCATGGGGGTTGGAACGCTGCAGAGGGGTAGAAACAGAGGAAATGCAATTTTTGGTAACAGGTACACTGCAAGACAGTTTTGCCACCAGCAAAAATTCTGCACAGCCAAGCTTCTTTTCAGCAACTCCGATTACAGCAGGTGCAGGTATGAACATCAGGAACAGCATATTGGAAAGTGACAGTTACCACCTTTCAGTTATCCATCCTCATTACACCCATCATAGTCAAACCACAGCCAACCCTCAGGCAGCTGTGGTACACCTGCACATTACACTAGGCTGCCATCACTCATGGCAGCAGCCTTCTCCACTTGCTCTGTCTTCTTTACCAAGAAGTTATGTTGGAGTTGAGGTCCGAATGGTGCACCTTACCGCTAATGAGCCCTCTGCATTATCCTGGAGACTTTCCTATATAAAGGATATGCTTGCCACCCTTTTGCATCACCTGGGAGTAAAGGCTGAGAGAGCTGTGACTGTTTAGACTAAGGTATCATCTAGCAACAGCCTTACAACTGCTTGAAGTAAAGCTAAAGAAAACAGCCACACGCTTCTCAGTGGAAGAGTGTTTGCAGGGAAATAGCCAGAGACTGTGGCTTGGGAGGTTCAGGTTAGGGGAAAAAAATTCCCAAAGAGGCTAGTACAGAACTTGCTCAGGGAAACGGTGAAGTCTCCATCTATGGAGGTTTTTATGACTAAGTTAAAAAAGCCATGGCTGAACTGATTTAGCATTAGCAACAGTCCTGCTTCAAGTGGGAGACTGGACTAGATGCTCTCCAGAGGCTACTTTCAACCAGCATTTCTACAACTGTCTACTGAGTGGAACATTCAGCATTACAATAAGCTCTGAGCATCCCAGCAATTGCCTACTTCAATTTTAGCTTAAAAGTCAGTTATTAACATATCATGCAGCATAAAGGAAAATAAGGACTGCATGTGGGATTTTCAATCTAAGCATATGACCACTTAGTAGCATTTAACATTTCACTAAATTAACACAACCTCATTACCTTACCATGCTGTTTCACATTGATGTTAAGATTTACATACACAAATTTTGCACTGTTTAGAAACTGCTGTTTAACTTTTCTCTTAAGATCACATGATATATTAGGATTGCATGCAAAAGCTGCTTCTAGCAAAGGTCTGGAAACTCCTCTAAGGTAAATATTCCAGGACTAGGATATTGTTACAGAGACCTGAATATGCAAAACTATGGTGAACCAACATCCTGAAAAGTAAAATATTAAAACAGCTATACATATATACACATATATACATTATAAAATAATCAATAACAACTCCATTAATTTTTCCTGCCATTCAGCATTTAGAACAGAAGCTATAATCAGGAGGCTGAGATGATGGCAGAAATCAAAGGGCAAAATACTTGTTAACATGTGCTCACCAGACTGAGCTAATTCTCTAGGGATGTATAGAGAACAAGGGAAGAAACGGCTGGAGCAGCACTGAATGCCAGCGGGAACTAAGCAGCACTGTTGAACTGCACCCTTAACACAGCGACTGAGCTTTTGTGGCATTTGCCTTCACTCTTGAGAGATGGACTAAGTCACCCATCAACAGAAGTGCCAGAGCTCTGGGTCACCCTTATCCATGTAACAAATAGCGGATGTAATACACAGAGCAAAAATCCCTGAATATTCTTTTTGCCCAAGCATGGCTCCTGTATGTAGGGAATTATCACAAGTTGAACCATTTAGAACTGACCATTCATGTCAGCTGTAAACACTTTCTGCATCCTGGCTTCTAAAGCAGATCTCATTTTAAGACAGAGGCAATTAAAAAGCATCAGACGCTTTCATGACAAACAGCACAACAGACAGCTTCTGTTTAAGGACAAATGCAAATATCTAATCCTTTCTAAATACCATTACACACGCAGACGGTTATCACAAGCAAAAGCTCAGAGTAGTGGAATTGCTCCAGCCCGTTGAGTCACATTGCAGATTTAAATGAGAAGGCGAGGAAGTCCGTGTGCCACACGTTGTCTATTTTCATGCACGGCAGAAAAGGATACAAGGTCAACTTGCTTTGCAGAGAGTAATCTGACTTTTGAGGGGATGGAGAAACTGTCTTAGTGTGTCTTGCCCAGGAGATGGCAATCCTTCTTCACAAGCTTTATATGGGGAATTTGGGCAAATTAAATTAAGAACAAAGGAACAGGTGTTTGATTAAAACAGAGGGCTGTATTGTAATATTTGTTTGCAGTCTCCTCAAGTTGCAGGATCAGAACAAAAAAATGTGAGGAATTTTCTCCAGGGAGATCTGAAACCACCAATGGGCAAAAAACTCTTAACAGCTTTTTCAGTGTCAGCAAGTTGAAGTCTCCTCCCTTTGATGATCATATTTTCCAGATACCTTAATCATAACAAATCTACCCACTGCCTTCTTGCAAGGCTGGAGGGAAGATGTACTTTTTTTGAAAACCAGGTGTTTTGCCTCCTAAAGAGACAACAAAAAGATTAGTCAGGAGCAATCAAGTTAGCAATAAGAGCTCCTGAGACAGCTATGTAGCAGTTATCACTATCTCAAGACAAAAACATGCTGAAATTACATCTGTTGACAAGGGCTGCTCCCCAGCTACAACCCTGGGACAAATATCTGAGAGGACAAAAATTCTGACAAGCATGAGCTGAAAACAAACCAAGGTCAACTCCTGCTG